GGGGGTGGGGGGGTGGGGGGGTGGAGGAAGGGTAGAAATCATAAAGCAAATTAACAGAATCACCATGAAGACATAAGTAGGACAAAATCCTGTATTCTACAAAAGTATTCAAACTTTTAGACTTGATTGATTTGTGGGTTTAATTACCAAACAAGGAGGGGGAGGAAGTATCGTTCAGCTCAAAAATGGCTGCAAAATACAAAATTGCCTAAAATTGACATTGTTCCTACTGTGGAAGTAAAAAAAAAAAAAAAGTTCTTATTTTTAAAGAGTTCTACTATTTAACAACGGTCTAAGTTCACTATATGAATTATTCTGGACAACACAAAATGTAGCCTTTCTGTCAATTAAACTCCTATGTCTACAATGACCTGTGAGACAGTAATATGCTCAAACTGGACTGTAAATGTGTGCTTTGCCCCTGGAGGCAGTTCAGCCTGGGCTGCAGTCAGGGCTGCAGCATACCTCAAGCACTCCCATGCACAGTACAGCTGAAATCTAGTCTATACGGGCTCCTGAGTGAGGGAAAGGAGCAGAAGCCTGATCCCGAGGCTGGGTACCTAACCCCGTGCTGGCTGGCTGGGTCTGTTGCTCTGGTGTGAGGTGCTGTCTCATTTGTGCTCGACAGTGGACTAGGAGTGGTGGCACCACTCACACTCAGCTAAGGTTCAGAGCCTGCTTCCTATCTGCCTCTCACTGGAGAGACCATACCTGACTGAGAGCATGGGCAGTCCTACACTCCCAGAACACGAGACGGATGGGTTGGCAGACAATGCATCATATGCTGACAGGGGAGCATAATGCGTCACTAGGCAGACACCCATACAATCAAGATAAAAGACTGTCTGTGTTTGAGAAGGTTATTATGGTCCTGCTTCTGCTTTCTTTGCATCCTCTTTTTGCTAAAAACTAAAGTAAGACAGCTAGGAATATGAAGAAGTTACCACAAATGTAGTGGGTGCATCCACAAGCACTGGAAACACTGCTATCTATTTTTTGAACTTCTCCCTGAGTATAAAAAAAAAAAAAGAAGAGTTTGCAAAGTCACACACAATTAAATGCAGTGATAAACAGACAGTTTTTCTCTAAAAATGCAAAATACTACTTTCATCATTTCCACCTTTGCTTTCATAAAAGAGAAAAATTGCAATGTACTCAAGAAGCAGTAGTGCATCCAGAGTTATTCCATGTATTTATCTGAAACAGAAGCAAATCACTTCATTTTCTCTAGGAATGCATATGAATAGCGGAGTCGCTAAACAGCCATTTTTCCTGAGGTACAAAGTTATTTCAATAATAAACATTTTAGCGAAAGACTGCCTTCTATGAATTTTCTTCCAAAAGGCAGGTGAAAGCTATTCAAATTTACAGCTCCTTTTTAAACTTTACATGATGCAGGCTTCACATAAGGGGAAGAGAAGGACAAGCTACAGTCATTTGATAGGTAAAATATCCCTGTGGCTACAGTAGTAATGGGAGTTTGAACATTCAGTCATAACTATTTTCCAGATCACAGTCCCTACTACGAGAAAGTATGTGAGGTGCAAAATGAGACTTCTCATATCGGCTAAATTCACTAATGTTAAATCATTTTAATCAAAAGCATAAATGATTAACAAAATATGTTTCTCAAGATGATATATAAGTTCATAAAGCTCATTCCTCATTAATTATTAAAAACAATTGGGAATTAGCCACATGGAAAACCTTCCCAGCATACTGTTTCGAGTCAACATTAAGCAGAATAACATTACAGTTGCTTTTCTTCTTTTGACATCATTAAACACACAAAGTGATATTTCCTCAAGAAGTAGTTGACAACCCAGTGCAGACTCGAGATGGAGTTATGCACTTGAGCTGGGGGCTGGGTGGCAGTCCCAGCCTGTCCCTGCTCAGCCTCATCACCCTTTACAACTGATTGAAACAAGGAATGGAAAGTAAGAGGGCTGAACACCATTAATAGAACTATCTAAAGGACAGTGCTTACCAATTTACAGGTCAGCATAGTAGTGTTTTCACAGCTACATTCTGAGAAGTGAACAAGAAAACTGTATTAGTCAGTTAGCTAATTGTTAGATTTTGCTAACAGCAGTGATTAAGGAATAAAGCAGTAACTACCACAGTGCCACTCTGGACAACACCGCCCAGGTACTTTTTCCTTCACAAGTGTCATGTCATCTGTGCAATTCATAGGAGGCTCAGAACAAAGATTTTCATCGCAAACTAAATGGGAGAAGAGACACATATAAGAATTTCCTTTGAATTTTCCAGCTTATATTTCTCTTGATAAACTATTTTTAAAATAATTACATTTGTAATAAAATTCTATTGTGATTCTTATGCATCTGAATTATATCTATTTGAAGCCCACCCTAAATGCTGGACCAAAGGAATCTACACACACAAACACACACACACTCATTTTTCTTAAATTTAGTCAGGCACTGAACTGACAACAGTTAGACTCACCGCAGTAGTAATGAGGACAACAGTAGTGTATGGTATTAAGGTCTACTGTGAGAATTTCCCCTTCATTACACAAGGGAACAGGCTCAATGCAGGATTCACAAACTAAATGAAAAAAAAAAAAACCAACAAAAACAAACACCAGACATTTACGAAGTTTTAAATACTAAAATGTTAGCACATGTGAATTCTATTTAGTAGAATATATAAGAAGGCTTCTTCTATATAAGAAGCCATACTACGTTTGCTACTTGGATAACAGAGCTTTTATGGATTGACATTCAAATGTAAAAACATAACAAAGTTCAATATGATGCTGAAAATTATGTTGGAAATGAAAGATCCCAAAACCCATGAATAATTCATGCTCCGGTCAGCCTGATCTGTGCAAAGTCCCACTGACCTCTCCAATAATTCCTGGCTTCAGTTATTAGGTTTAAAACTATAGACTGGTTTTGTGAACTCTTACCTATGTTTTAGTTATCCATAAAAATCTTAGAGGCTTCTTACCACAGAGATAAGAGAAACAACAGGGATCTTCCTGTTTTGCTTCAACAATAAATTGATCTTCTCTGCAGTCCAGCTGGGAAGCATTGAAACAAACTGAAGGATCACATTCTGTAGGATGTGAAATAAACAGTTTTTTAAAAGGGTCACAGAAACAATGCTGAAAAGATAAAGAAAATATATTCTTCATCTACTTAGTAAAACAAAATACCCCAAATTGACTGTAAATCTAAAGTGACACAAAACACAAACACAAAAAAATATTGGAGGCTGAGGAAAAGAAAACCCAAAACCTGCATCACTTCCTGGTGCTATTTACAATGTCCCATTCTGTTAACAATCAAAACAATTTGTAAGGCAAATTTTCATACAAGACATAATACAAGGGTGGAAAATGTCCCAGTAACTGTTTGTGTACTTCCCTTACCACATTGGTACTGTGGGCAGCAGGACAGGGGGTGGTAGCCTACCACTAGTTTCTCATTGGGTTTGCATGTTGGAATAATGGCATCACACAATGACATGTTACATTCTGTGGGATAAAAAACACACACGTTGACATATCTGAGCAGACACATGTGCAAGTCCTATAGCTCAAGATATATATACCATCTAGTATAGAGATCCACAAACGAAGAACAGTCCAAGCCAGCTTAAAGCACACTCCATACCATCGCATAGACTTCTAAGCTCAACCCGGGGCTGGCATAGCCCGATTCATGCAGCATGGTGCAAGCACAGTTATATCCCTCTTAAAGCAGGTATTTACTTGCGCTGCTTCCTACATACGAAGCCAGCTAGACTGTCCCAGTGAAATATTCCCTAAATGAATCGACAATACAGCATTGGTTACAGGAATCCAACTAATGAGCAATATCACCATATCAGCCAGACCATTCGCTCTCATTTTCCCTGATGAAGTTATGAAGAACTGAGTATCTTTTGCTTAATGTTTTAGGAGCAACAAGCTTATTCCTTTTTCCAACAACCAAGGCTAGATGGAATATTAGTATTCAGTGATCATTTCACAGAATAGTGCTTCTGGGAAACAGCAGTAGGTCAGAGGATGCTGCTCTTGACACCAATGCACTAATAAGCAAAGGGAACAGGCTCTGATGACTGCCCCAATTACCAAGCTACTTCCATCATTGAGTATTTATCAGTTTCTTTTGAAATTCCATCCAAGAACTTAAAAGTTCATTTTTAACTGAATTTTTGTTTCACTAGTGGACTTCTAAGAGAAAAAATAGAATTTCAGTGAGTCAGCTCCTACAAAGGAAAGAAGCCTGCTTTGCCAGCCCAGCCACAGGTACCTAAAAATCACTTGTGAAAAGTGTTACCTTGTACCCTGTCTAAAGATTGTCATTTTCCAGTGAATGTCAAGCACTTACCTTATACTTCTGTTACTGAAAACCAGTGTGGTACATACCGCAAACTTTCTTTGGACAGCAAGCTCTCTCTTCGATGACATGGACGATAACTTCCCCTTCTCTTTCACAGACAGGTGGTGGGTCCTCGTTGCATTCAGGTTCTACAGCAATAACGCTTCCATTTTCTGAACAGCTGTACATGCAACAGCCTCTCATGGACCCATTCCAGATCTCTCCAGCAGAGCGGGGTTGTCCTTTGTTATCTGTACATGCTGAGAGAAAAAACATTGTATCCCTTTAACAAGTAGGAGCCCAGATTTCCTGCAAGCAACTATGAACCGCATAAAATTATTGTATAAGAGGACTGTGGAGCATTATGGTCAGGGCATCCAAGAAAAGATCATGACCTTGAAACCCCCAGATGAACAAATGCTTTGCTATGGGTGAAAATAAATACTGAGTGCAAGGGGAAAACCTGCCCATGCTATTCCTTCCTGAGTACTCCAGGAAAGAAGGCCTGGGAGCTACAGAAGAATGACCATCATTTTTCCGCAGCAGAAGTACATCATCCCTGGGTCTTGAATCCAAGTGACCTGACAGCACCAACTGCTGTAGCTTGAGATAAAGCCAGGATCTGTTGAAGGGAGCTGTACACAGATTCGCACTGAGGATTGACACAGAACTTAAACATCGCTTACACTGAGCTGCAGTTAGTATTCACATATCTGCAAAACCACTCTGTCCTGCTGCACTTACTACATTTATCTTCTGGTATACAGAGGTCAGAGTCTGTTCTATGCAGAATAGTGCCATTTTTACACACACAGTCTTCCCTTAAATAGGAACAGGGTGAATCTTCATAGAACCATTTATTCAAGCACGTCTTGGCTTCACAGGGCTGCACACAAGGCTGGTATTCCTTGCCCTCAGGACAACTCAGTGCTGCAAGTCATAAAAATAGGACACTGAGTGCTGCTATTATTCTTTCGGCATTTCATAAACAGGTAGTAAGAACGAGTGTGTCATAGAAAGCAAGCATTTATGTTTTTAACAGTATTTTAGGTAAGCAACTCATTCAATGAGATTAAAACTGATTCCTGGCACTTCAACTGCAACAATACATCTCAAGAACTTGTACCCTGATTTACTAATGCTGTGGTAGAATGAGATGGTACTTAGAATAACAACAGAAAGTAATACATTTTTAACTCATCACTAAACACTGCCGCAGTATAAAGCCACACTGGGGTACAGAGCATGGCTATCTGCTTACAACAGTAATCAGGTGTCCTCCATTTAATGCAGATGTTGTGCTTGTTGCATAAAGTCACATATGCAGAAAGTGCATCACACTCATAATTCCAAAAATAAGTACTGTTGATCCACATCTTCTCACAAAACTCCTGTGGTGACACCTAGGAACATATTGTAATGGAGAATCAACAAGTAGAAGAGCTTTCTGTAATTAAAATAAATCATTAATTACAAGAAATAATACAGCTGCAAGGGAAAAAATCACAAGCAGTGTTTAAAGTAAAAAATACCATTTTTTCCAGAACACTCATTAGTAGGCACAGTATTCAGTTCTAACTCTTTTGTAATGTGTTTCTGTTGAGATGGTGATCTGGTGTCTCCTTTGAGATTTGCCTATTAAATAATTTAAGAAACAGCATAATTTCACAGGTGTCCATACAGATGTGTGTTTACAATGGACAACATGCTGAAAGTATGAAAGCCAACATGGCAGAGGTGTTAAAGCCATCCATCCAGTTGTCAACTCATGAAACTAAGCAAAACAGAAAAAATGTGCATACCTCTCTCACTCTTTTCTTAATTATACATCTTTTATTTAATTTGCACCTGGAATTTCTCTGATCTTAGTACTCACTTTCTTGTGGCAAGGGATGAAAATGCTTCTGTTTAACAGTTCCATACAGTATGTGCAGTTATCTTCAGTACAGTTCCTTACTGGCCTCCTGGTTGTCACATCAAGTGATTTCTCAATTTCCCAACTCTTAATGAACCCTTCAATTTCCTCCATATTTGTAATTATGGTCCTGTTTTGCATTTTCAGGTCATCAGTAGGGTCTCCATTACACACCCCTGGAGACAGAGCATCACATTCAAAGCACAAAGAAACATACCATATTACTTCCTTTGGGAATGAAAAGTGCACTTGATAAGGTAACACTGCATCGGGCTCCCCTGAGAGACTTAGTCATCTGAATTTATAAATGAACGCAGCAACATGTCCCCTGTACTTCTTTCTACTTGTGAGTTTACTCGTCAGCTCAACGACTTAGCAAAACAAGCAGATCATACAGTACAAGTGATGATACTTTTCCCAACAATGAACTTTTGAAAAAAACTGCTACCAAAGCGTGCTGCCGAGTGTAACAAATTCACTGTCATGGCTCCAGATTCCAATCTCATTCTACTGAAGAGCAGTCAGCTCCATGGGGGTAAATGCAGATGGCTTTCAAATTAACTTCATGTCGCTGATTTGACACTGTATTGAAACTTAACTGAACAACTTAAATGCAGGAAGTATGAAAGGAATCTTTTGATGAACAAATTGCTTTCTATAGAGAAAATATTTTCCTTAATTTATTAATAAAAAACTTATGAAAAAAACACCCCACCCAAACCTCTGCCATCCACTAGTTACCTGAATTCATTGTTGTACATATTCAGTTAAATCATCAGTGAAAACAGTGACTTCCTATGAGCACATAACTAGTCATTAATGCCAAAATTTTAATCTTCATAATAGTGTTTTACATCCCAGGGACTGAGCAGCCGAAGTTCCTATATCCGTTTTTCACTTTTGCATTGCTATCCACACCCCAAGGCCTTGCCTTCATGCTTCCAGCCCTGCATCCTGATATTCCCCAGGGTCCCTCTTTAGAACTGGGCTAGCCTGGCGTGACAGGCTGTTGTTCTCTCAGACAGCATGGAGAAACACAGAAGATGGTATTTGCATGATAAGAAGCATCTGAGAGCAGCACCGCTTTCCTGTCTTCTTAACACCTCTGCTTCTTGCTGATGTCTTAATGCCATCCCACAAGCTCTCCTGGTGCTAGAATTTGTAGGGCCATTGTACAGAATTGCAGATTCAATACAGCTTTAAAAATAAAGCAAATTTGCTCATAGTCCTGCAATTTTTTCAGTATCAGAGGGAGAGGATTGGAGAATCCCAGAAGACAGGAGAATCCCAGGAATGAAACAGCAGATAATAGGAAAGAAACACTAAAGGAGGCTTCATCTTTCTGTCATTTCATGGCACAAAAAGTAACTATTCGATAATCCTTCCTACATTTGACCTCATCCCAATCTTTCTCACAGTCCATAGAGAAGATGGCATGATACTGGGAAAAGATGTAGAACGTGCCAGCATTCTCCTTCTCTCACTAGATCTAGGACAACTTTCCTTTTGTTCAAGCAGAATATAGCTATTGATTTAAAAAACTTAATTTTTTTCTATGTATATATAAACCATATCTGATTTTTGCTTGTTTTTCAAACTGAAAGCAGTTTAAAACATTGTAGAAAGTTCCTTTTCCTGGTCGATACTGGGTAAATCCTGTAAAATTACAATGCACCAGAAAATTAACATTTATGGTATAATTAAAGTAACTCTAAAATACCTGCTTACACTCTTCCATATCACTCATACTGGCAGGGTTGTAAGAAGGCTGTCGGGGAAGCCTGAACCATGCTAGATTTACTGTCATTGTAATTTAAGCCTGAGACAACTCAGCACAGTTTTGGACCCCAGATCTTACCTTAAGAGGTCTGAATTTGGATTCACTATCCTCAGAGGACTTGGACCCTTACCAAGATACAACATCTATCAGTATCTGCATAGTGATAAGCTGCCACTGCTAACATCTGATAGTTGTTCTTTTCTCCCATAATCACTGAAATATACTGTCTCTACCTGAACTTCTCCAGCAGCCACCTCTCCATTGAAAATCTTCCCTTTTTCTTTACTTTACTTCAACAATATTCTTAAACACTGGTGGAGATGAATACATTTTCTAAAAGTTGATTAGAATTAATGTATTGATCATTACTTGCTCTGCAAAGTATATTATTAGCAAGCAGTGCTTTTAAACAGAATCACTGATTTATTATTATTAATGAATAGAATTTCACAAGCCCATCTCAAATAGCATTGTCAGTGTAGTTAGTGGGGGTCACAAGGAGAGCTACAGGGAGAGCACGTCACAGACACAAAAGGGAGGTGTAAATTTTAAATTGAAAATTATTAAGTAGGGAAAAAATTGCCACCGTAGCCTTACCACAAAGTCCTTCTGTCTTCATTGATGTGTTAGAGTGTAATCCGTACTCTATATCTATGATGCCTGTAATGTGAGCCCACTTGATGCTAACACCAGCTGGGGTATTTACGACATACATTGCACCAGTATCCTGAATACTCAGTCCTTCTTTTGAAAATGGTAATGACTGAATTACAGCATCCACTACTACCTAAAATAAACCGAATACATTTTAGGGATAAAAACAGATTGCAAAGATGTATTTTATATATCTTCACATTTTATAGCAAGAGATACTTTTTAGAGCCTCTGTCACACACAGTAGCAGGCACAGTGCTTAAACCACAGAGCTTCCCGTCAGTGCCATTTCCTATCACTGCAAATAAGTAGGCATGAGAAAAAATACTGATATGGAAAACTTTTCTGATTAAGGAATCAATAAATCTTAAGTATCACATATTGTATGATTAGAAAACAAAACAAAACAAACCCAACCTCATCCCAATTATTCAAAGTTCTGTTCTGACCTATTACTGTCTAGCGGGAAAGGAAGCTAAGTATTTACCATGTCTTGGAACATTTCTGCTTGGTTCTAGCTTTTCTGGAAATAGAGTCTCAAGTACATATGTTTTTGCAGCCTCTCTAAAATCAACTTTGAAGTGTCATTTCAGATAAATGAAGTGAAGCGTGATATCAGAAATGTGTATTTTTTGCTTCTAGCATGCCATGAATTACTGGGAAGCTGAACTACAAGAGTAATCCTAGTCCTGTAGCACATCCGTTATAAATCTATCTATTGCATTCTTCAACAGAGCAGCTCTCCAGCTCTCTTTTAAGTGTACATATGCTATGTATTGGTGACATATACTTACTTTTCTTGCTAAACGATTGATAAGTAATTTACATGTGCGTGTTGTTACATTTAATTTCTTAAAACAGAGCCCTGAAGTGCTTGCAGGGGGAACCTTGAAAGAAAAGTAACAAACAAGTTTAGTTACTACTGTTTTTCTGATTTGTACCAGTGCTATAAGGAATTTTTTCAATACGTGTAATATTAATGTATTTTATGCTTAGTGAAAGAAAAAAGTACTTACTAGTTTTCTTATTGAATTTGCACTCTGGAAAACATTAAAAATACATTAGAAGTGCAGTGATAATCAGCAGCATTCTTATTTGGCAGAAATAAATCGGCTATTTTCTTTATGTTTGAAGTTGCTCTATAATCAGCTTCATAATGAAACTAAATTAATATATTCTTTATGAATAATAAAAAATATACATTTCCCAGCAAATGTAGTGTATCTTTTTATAAACTATTTTTAGAGACTTGATTTACTTTAAAATATTTATATGGAAAATAATGCAGAGAAGATGACACAATGACCTGAACAAGTTGAATTAAAAGCACATAGAAATATGGTGGGTGTGCCAACAAAATCCCCTGCCCTAACTTTGATAAAGCTTCTGTTTTATCAAGGCATCTTTCTGCACAGACTGTAGCTCAAATATACCATACCTGAGCTGGGACTTTTAACTAAACAGCTTTAACATTGAGAGCAACTCATTACCAGCGTCACGAGACTCAGCATATGCTGCAAAGCACTTTCAAAAAATAGTTCTGAATGAACTGCAGCTACAGACTTCTAAAGGTCCTCTGCCTTTGTGAGCTGTGTTCACACCTTCAGACTGCAGCCAAGAAACAGTAGAGAGCACTTTAAAAGAAAACCTCTAAAACAGTGTAAGACTCAGGACTATAAAATCAAGTGTACAGTTGCCCAGTGAGAGGAGAAAAAAGAATAAACAGGGATGGGAAGGAAAGAAGCTTGATGAAGTTCCTCCTCAGGATCTTGTTTATCCAAAACCCAAAGAAGGAAATACAAGCCAGTTGTCCAACGGCTGCACAAATTATGACTATGGACAGTGCAAAGAAAATCTATGTACAGACTCTAAGGAGGATGAGGCTGACCTGACCTAAACTGTCAGTCTAAAAATAAAGTGGCTGGATCTTCTCTGCAGGCCATGCAGAGAGTTAGACAACTACAAAGAACAACTCATCACACTAATCCCAAACTCATTAATACCTTCCTAAAATAACTACAAAGTATTTTTGTGACTATTCAAAATATTTTAGTATTTTGACCATATTGTAAAGTATAAACTCAAGGCTTCAAGAATATTTGTCAGTGGAGAGCCTGAAAGGAGACATGCAGGTTCAGAAGTTATATCACCTCTGGTAATTTAAAAGGAACCTACATCTGAATTTCCTTATAACATAATACAACAAACATCATTTACCCTGAGATAAATTTTTTATCTAGACAGGACGATTAAGCATGCTCCCTGAAAATTAAATAACTTTGACTATTTTTCAATGGAAATAGCTTTTATCTGAAAGTTGTGATACATTTTTGCAGAATTTCGTACCTGTAACCCAATAATTCAAGAAATTATTACTATTATTGCAGAAATGCAAGAATCTTACCTGATTAGTGGGACATTTTTCAATGTGAGCAACAATAGTTTCTCCTGGTAACTTGACTAAGATGTAGGAAGCCATATTACAGAGGGCTATGTTGTTTCCGTCAAATGTAATAACACTCAGTTCAGACAGTACAGAACAGTGACCTAAAAAAGAACTGTCATTTAATGAGGTTACCATAAAACCGAACACAGGGCATTTCTAAACACTTCCAGTTTTATCAACATCTGCTTTCAGATATAGGTTCAAATAGATATTGATAACCTTGTTCTGTGGACGGCCTACTACGCCATAAGCAGAAGCAAGTATCCTACGTTACCCAGTGGAAATTTGTTGACCTACTGCTATGTGCCCAGGGTAGGGGAGAAAGTTAAAATTGGTGACAATTTTCACTTAAGTCAATGTTTTACAGGCAAGGTCAATGAATCTGTACATTCTGAGATATAATATATGTATTAAAATATATGTATTTTTGAGACACTGGTAACAGGAGACTGCTCTGTCCTGTCTCGAGACAAATATTTAGAAGTGTGATACTGGTTTCAGTAACGTTGCAAGATTTCTAATATAACTTCTCTTTGGCCTTTTTGTTCCGTTGGTAGACAGTCATCTGCCAGTTTCTGCAGTTTCTGTGCATGTGCAAAAACTGCAGATAGAGCTAACTGAAAGCTGGGGGCTCTGTCTTTCAGAAAATGCCAGTATTTAATTTGTTTTCTTCACAAAATGTTGAAATCTCAATATTTCTACTGATAGTAATTCTGAAAAATCTCATCTGGAAAATGTTGATGTTCATGTTGCAGACTTCATTTCAATGTTTTCATTCAAAACAAAACTACTTGACTCTCTTGAATGTTAATTCAAAGGTACCAAAGCATTCAGTATATTTCATTCTGTTTTACTGATGAACAGCTCTTTTAAATTCCACGATTCAACCTCATATTCCCACTGTAATAAACTCTTAATTTATCACTTGAAATTTACAGATCAAGGCTCTATGTTGTATTTAAAAATAAAACAGTGACTTACAGGGGCATTCCCATTCTGGGCAACAGCTATCAGTATTAACTTGAACTGGCATTCCTCGAAAACCACAGTCTGGCTTCTGCACATCCTTAGGGCAGTTCCTTGAAAGGTTGTATAACATCCAACCAGTACTAACACATACATACTGGCTACATTTGTCGACAGGTTCAAGGTATCTTGGCTATAAGGAAAAATACAACCAAAATTAACTTTACATGAATTGTCATTACGAAGTCCAAGCTCAAGTCCAAGTTCATCACCCTGCTCTGAGACAGAATCAGTGTACCTACATGGCCCCCTCATCAGTTATTTTGGAATGAATTGCTTTTGTGTGGTTGTAACAGGTGACAATGATGCACAGCCATTCACCCTCACCCTCCCTGTTCCATATCACTTTCGTGGAATAGGCTGTGTAAAGCGTTATGCACTGAGGCTATATGTATATTCAGTAATAATCTAAACCACTTTAAAAAATACAGAATCATGCATTCCCATCATTTAAAACCCTATGACCAAGAAACAAATGGAAAAAAGAAAGACAGGGTGAGATTATGAAGAAACCCAAAAGTTCCATGGATTATGGCTTTTTCTGCACCTCAGAAATATATTTCACTATCTAGACACTACATAGATTTAAAGCCATTTTTTTTCCAGAGCAGTACATCCAAGTTGCAGAATATTGCAGGGCAGTATAAGAGCAGTGATACAACAATCCTCTAAGAATAATTGATGATTTTAAAAGATGCAAATAGAAACAAAAATATGAGATATTTAAAATCTCTGGTGTTACATGCATAGCATAACAGAATGGACTGAAAAGTATATATATTTTAACACACAGGGGCAAGTAAAACTGACCATACCACACATTTGGAAGAGGCAGACATCAGTGTATGCATCATTGTACCAAAGGAAGCCTTATCAGCTATAGCTGTCATTGTTTCCACGCTTGTCAGAGGAGTTTGTGTTTCCACAGGCTCTGAAGAGGATGGCAGAGCCATTCCACCACTAGGACGAGATAAATCTGTTATAGTTCTGGTCTGCAGCTCTGAGGGCTCTGTAAAACTGAAATAAGGTTTAGTGATTTTCTGTGTTGTGATTTTGGACCAATCTGATGTTGTTACATCTGAGACTCCAGAAAGAGGGACATTTTTTACTGAGGTGGTATTTCTTGAAAAAGGCGAACTCTGAACTGCAGATACTGTCAAGTAGGGCAAGGAAGATTTCTCAGTTGTGGTTGACTTTGTCCTGGTAACATTTCTTTGTTCATGTGAAGTCTGACCACTTTCTAAAATATCCACAGTTCTTTCAAATAAGGTTGCGTATTTAACTTCTGAAGCTGTAAAAGAGGTACTTTTCATCTGTGACAATGGACTTGCAGTACCAGTTGTTTTCATGATCAAAATTTCTGGGGCTTCTTTAGTGATTTGTGAAACTCGAGTTGCTGCAGATGTGAATAAAGATTTGTGTGACACATGCATGGGTGTTTCTATGGTGGTAGGAACTGAAGCCATATAATACTCCAAATCGGCAACAAAAGAATCAGTGGTTTTTGCAGTAACCCTAGAGGGTACAGTAGTGTCAGAATCAACTAATAAACTGGCTGAAGAGCTAGGTGGCATTTTTTCAAAAATATAAGGTGCTTTTAAGGATGTAGCATTCACTGTTGTGTTGGCGATCATTGGTGTGGTGGATTGAGTGATGATTCCAGGTGATATGGCTGATATTGTTCCATCTTCTTCTGAAGAACTTACTGAAGAACTCTGTTTTCCTAGAGAAACAGTAGAGATACGGGTGGTCTTAGGAGGAGGTGAAGACATAGAGACCCTACTGGACTGGCATTCTAAAGTGGCTTCAGGAGTTGTAGGCATTAGTAAAGAGAGCATTACAATGCATGGTTTTAGCACTGCTGAAAGGCTGGTAGAAGGGCTTGTGTTTATAGTGAGTGTAGAAAAATCTACAGAAGAAGTTGCAAAGTCTGTAACTGGACTTTTTGAGGTTCCTTGTGCATCTAGAGATGAAACTGAAGTTTGGGTAGCAGTTTATTTTGTGTTAATGATGATGCAATAATGATGACTGTGGGAATCAATGAAGACCTTATAGTATAAGATGGTACCGGTGTTGATGACGAGACTGTAAATAAAGATGACGACCTTGTAAGAGAAGAACCTTTAGGAATGAAAGTACCTGAACTTTGTGACACAGGGTCAGTTTTCAATTCTGTATGTGAACTGCTTGGGTACACTGTAATTTCTGAAGGGGTTATTAATGTAGCATTTAGAAGTAATACCAGTGTCCTAAGAGGGAAGACTGTAGACGTAATGGATTTCCTTGGCTTTTTAGAAATGGATGATACTGAAAAGGAATCAGTGTACATTATGTAGTTATTTTCTG